AATGGACAATTTCATGGGGCTTGACTATAAAGAAGACAATGGAGGCAAGGCTTGAAGAATTGTCATAAATAGAGGGAGTGATTTTTCAAGATAAGAGAGATTTGAACATATTTTAAGGCTGATGGAATTAAGCTACTAACAAAGGTAAGGATGAAAATATTGAAAACAGACAAAAATAATTGATGGGATAAGTTGCTGGGGAAACTAGTGCCCAGGCAGAGGACATAAGCTGAGAGGGGAAGAGGGAGGATGGGTGTGGACACAGAAGGCTGTATGAGGGTGCGGTAGTGAAGGTGATTCCCGTAATGGCTTCTATTCACTGAGTGAAATCACAGATGAGATTATCCACTGAGAGGGAAGAGAGAGGATAAGAGCTTTGAGCAAGAGAAGAATATTTGCAATAGTAGTTTTGAAAAATGGCAGTAAGAGCTAACCAGGAAAACACGGCAGTATTACCAGTCAGCACAGAGGGCTCGGTGGGGCTCAAGGTCATGAATTTGGGATGCCACTTAGCTGTGATTTCATGTGATTTTCTCCAGCCTCATTCGATGGGGGCAGGAAAAACAGCAGAAACATTGGTAGTTGGGATTACTTCAAAGTTGAGGACAGAAAGGCCAGGGAACAGGAAGTTGAAGGTATTAGGAAGAGAATGATTGAAGAAATGAGCCATCATCTCTAGGTGGCTCCAGATGGAATGAAGATTGGCAGGGCAAGGAGGGAGAAAATAGGAGGACCAAGGAAACTCAAAGGCTCACAGAACAGCTTTGTGGGAGTGGGACGTAAAAGTCTGGGATGAACAAACTTGGTGGAGATTTTAACTTACAATTTCAATCACAGCATGCTGTGTGCATATGTGGGAATGTCGGAAAAGTCACACTGAATCCCACTAAAGTGTACAATTAATGCATGTTAATAACAACATTTTTTTTTGAAGATTTCAGAGCTGGAGAGGTCTAGGTCACTGGGAGGTTCTGACGTGAGTGGGGTGTGCGTGTGTTTGTGTGTGTGCACGTGTGCACTCGCGGGCAACATCTGTCATTACAGGTGGTCCTGGTTGAACAGTTCATCCTACACCTCACCCTGCCCGGCCTTACTGGAGGGTTGGCATGAGTTGTAGGCAGATGGGTTCATCCCCTGGCTCCAGGGATTGGGTCAGGGATGGATACATGACAAGAAGAGATGGCTCCTCTGTAAGATTTCTCACCCAGATGCTTGGAGACAAGTCCTTTTTCTCAGCTCAGGGATCATTAATATTATGGTTTGGATCTAAAATGTCCCCAAAAGCTCATGTGTTGAAAGTTTGGTCCCCAGTGCAGCAACGTGTAGAAGTGCTGCACATTGGCTCATGAGGGTTCTAACCCCATTGATGGATAAATCTGTTGGTCAGTTCATAGATGAAGGGGCTATTAGGAGGTGAGGCTCAGTTAGACGAAGTAGGTCACTGGAGTCGTTCCTAGAAGGGTACTTTTGTCCCCAGTCCCTTGCTCTCTGCCATGGGGTGCGCAGGTCTCCTTCACCACACCCTTCCACCATGATGTTCCACCTTCCCTCAGGCCAAAACAATGGGGCCAGCGGACCATGGACCAAAACCTGTGGAACTATGAGCCAATAAATATTCCCTCATTTAAGTGTTCTTCCTCAGGTATTTTGCCACAGTGACAAAAAAAAAAAAAAACCTGACACAGTTGGAAAGCCCGTCTTTCCTGTCAGCATGGAGAAAATGAGACCAACGTGAAAAGACAAGCCAATGACAGAGATGAGAGGTGAAGAGGAGCAAAAAGAATCTAGATAAAAATTTTGAATCCCTAAATCTACCCAGCTGAAGCTGAACCCTTCCAATGAGTCCTCAAAGTTCTATTTCAACTTCAGGTGGTCTACATTGACTCCTACATACTGCAGTCTAAGGTGTAAGTGGCTAAAACAAAAAGAGGTGTTATGGTTTGGATGTGGTGTCCCCCAAAAGCTCACGTGTGAGACAATGCAAGAAGGTTCAGAGGAAAAAAAAAAAAAACCATTAGGTCATGAAAACTTTAACCCAATCAGTGAATTGATCACCTGATGGGATTAATGGAGTGGTGACGCCAGGCAGGTGAGGTGTGGCGGAAGGGGCGGGGCGTTGGGAAATATGTTTGTATTTGGCAAGTAGAGATCTCTCTCTCTTTGCTTCATGTGAGCTGCCTCCCTCTGCCACGCTCTTCCACCATGATGTTCTGCTCCAAGGAAGCAATGGGCCCCAAGGAATGGAGCCAGCCTTCTGTGGACTGAGACCTCTGAAACCATGAGCCCTCAAATGAACTTTCCTTCTCTACAATTGTTCTGGTCAAGTCATTTAGTCACAGTAGTGAAAGAGCTGACTAAACAGGAAGGAAAGATATGAGAGCTGAGAAGACCCAGAAATAACAGATACAATGTTGCATAGGTGACCTTGTGAACATTAATGCCACCCAGGATGAAGACAGCACTCAGCAGGGTGGAGAAGACACTTTGGAACCATTTTATTAAAAAATCTTAAGTAGGGAGAATAGACAGCATATTACTAGGTAACACAATAAAGACAAATGAAAATTATACAGCAGTTAGCAGGAGCTTCCAAAGAGCAACGTTTTTTTAAAATTTGTTCTAATCAGTTATACATGACAGTAGAATGCATTTGACACGTCATACATATACAGAGTATTACTTCTCATTCTTCTGGTTGTACCTGGTGTAGAATCACACCAGTCATGTAATCATATATACACATAGGGTAATAATGTCCAATTCATTCTACTATCCTTCCTACCCCCATAACCTCTCCCCTTCCTTCACTCCCTTTTGCCCAATACAAAGTACCTCTACTCTTCCCTAGCCCTGTCCGCTTATTGTGAATTAGCATCCACATATCAGAGAAAACATTTGGCCTTTGGTTCTTTGGGATTGGCTTATTTTGCTTAGTATGATTTCTCCAGCTCCATACATTTACCTGCAAATGCTATAATTTCGTTCTTCTTTAAGGCTGAGTAATATTCCTTTTCTTGTGTGTATATATACATATATATATATATATATATATATATATATATATACACACACACACACACCACATTTTCTTTATCTATTCATCTGTTGAAGAGCAGCCAGATTGGTTCCATAGTTTAGCAATTGTGAATTAACCTGCTATAAACATTGATGGCTGTGTCACCATAGTTTGCTGATTTTAAGTCCTTTTAAGTCCAAAGAGTGGGATAACTGGGTCAAATGCTGGCTCCATTCCAAGTTTTCTGAAGAATCTTCATATTGCTTTCCATAGTGGTTGCACTAATTTGCAGTCCCACCAGTAATATGTGAGTGTACCTTTTCCCCCACATCCTCGACAACACTTATTGTTGCTTGTATTCTTGATAATTGCCATACTGACTGGAGTTAGATGAAATTGTAGAGTACTTTTGATTGAGCAATGGTTTTTATACTACATAGAGTAATGGGATGGAAGACATAGAGGGGAAAGAGAGGTACCCAGATTATACTTGCTGATGAGAACCTGGAGCAGAACGCAATAACGTGGATAAGATAAAGTATTATCACTGGTGTATAAGTCACAGATTACATTACCACGAACTGCTGCCCCAGTGAAAATTAGACCCCACTTCTGTGTCCCAAGCATTCACCATAGCAGTACTACAGAATCCCCAACAGCTCTTCAGGGAATAGAGTTGCTTACTCTTCTCCCTGTAAAATGGACTATAAGGTAAAACTGGAAATTTAGACAGATCGGGTTCACATTTTCCTCCTGAGGAACTTTATGCAGATACTTAGATGTCTCAGTGACCAGAATGAATACCCCAGTAGCAATTTCACTCAAGTGTATTTGGTAGAAGAGTTAGTTTTAAATATTTTAAGGCCTCATCTAAAAAATCACATCAATCTAATGCATTTTATTGGACAACATAAAATATACATGGATATTACAGGCCAACAAATGGAACACAAAAACATGAAGCTGGCTTGCCAACTCTGGAATGAGGGCCACCGAGGGAGAGGCCACAGCCAATGCCATCGTAACAAGGAGGAAATGGCTTTACTAGCAGGTTTGCAATTTGTCCAACCACTATATGAACCATATGCATAGTCAGGATTTCTTTTTTCTTATTCTATATACCCTTTCCACTAAAAGTCTCTAAAGCTTAGGTTTGAATACGTTTCCTTATATATTAAACATTATTGTATATATACTGAGTCATACAGCAGAAATACTACGTAAACATATTTAGGTAAATGAAGTATAATTTCATATACTACTGAGAAAGTACAGTACTACCCACTATAGACTATTTTTAGCCTCTTACATGAATCTTGTTATATAATTAATAATGAATCAATCACAGAAACACATTTATGTTTTTAAGTACTATTTAAAATATCTTTGAATGATGTAGAAAATAAATTTATAAAGAAGATAAATAAAATGTATTAAAATTATGTGTGGAAAACAGAGAAAATGTACAAAAAGAGCCCTCCCATATGCACACACACACACACACACACACACACATCCATGACTGCATTCATGGGGATCTTCTCCAGGGACACAGAGAAACTGCTGCCTCCACTCAGCAGAAAGGGGGCTCCAAAGTAGAAGCCATTGCATGCAGTCTCTAGAGGCCCTCTTTAAGAAAGCTTCTCCATATGGTTATTATGATAATTAAAATGGCTAGTGAACCCCCACCTGAAAAATGATACCCCATCAATGTTAATTCTCTACTCCTATTTCCCAGTCTAGATTGCAATGTAATGGAATAATTCTGAGTCTCAAAGTGTTAGCAAGTGGAATAATAGGTGTTTTCAGTGCTAAACATTTGTCTAGGGCTGGCACCTTTGAGGCCTTTTCTGCCAATGATGCAACCTCGCTAGGCCATTAAAGCATACCATATTCACACGCTGATCACATCTCACAGATTTGAGGAATTTGTGAAAGTAGGAATTGTGCTGTCTTAGTTCCACCTCCCTCTGGAGACAAGCATTCAATGAAGAAGTTTTAAGTGCCCTTGCGGGTGCCTGTCTTGCCCAGAAGTCATGTCTTTGAGGCAGGCACAGGAAACAAGGCGATGCTGATGTAAATGGATCAGTCTTTCAAGACACTTGATGATCTCATAGTCAGGAAGAGCAAGAGCGGTCATGTTCAAGCCCAGCATCTGGGAAACTACCTCCCTGAAGTCCGCCAGCTGCAACATCAAACAGAAACACATTAACTGGGAGAACAAAAAGTCTCCACTGTTGCTGGGTCAAGTGCAACCAAAAGCAAAAAGATAAATAATAAAACCTGGAAAACTCAGGTCTGCACAAGGTAAGTCAATTACCTACCCCCTTTAGCCTTATAAAATAAGTTGGCTTGCCTGCTAATTACTTCTAAAGTCTCTTCAAGGGTCTCCCTTTAGCAATTCTCATAGCCACTTTTCTGATGAGCAAATTGATTAGCTACTCAAGAATTCCAGTTGAGAACCCATAAATGAGACTCTGACCTAAGGCTTCATTTTCTCTTCTCCATATACTTACTTGCTCTGAAATTCAGAACAAATGAAATGATAATTATGTATGTGCTCTGCACAGTAGAAATACAGAGCTAGAAATATACAGATGTTGGTATCATAGTGTCAATGGATGATAAATGTTTGTGCATTGGAATGTGAACTGGATAATGAACTTCTTAAACTAAAAGAACAAATGGCAAGAAAGCAGGAGGGCTTCTAAATTAGTATTATATCACATCACAGAGATTGCCACCTCAAAACATATCACTGGACTGGTGTGGGATTATGTGTCCATTGAGAAAGGGAAAATGGGAGACCAGGAACAATGGCTGAAATATGCTTCCTATACCCCTTCAAATTCTCCTAGGCTGCTTTCTCTTGTTCTAAGATAATGCAGAAGCAGGTAAATGAGGGCTATCTGGACAATACCTCATTAAAGCTACCTTCCATTTTAGAAGAGCTGTGATCCAACCAGAAAATGGGTTACATTAGAAAAACGCCATCCATACAGCCTGCCCTGGGCCCATTGCTTCCCAACCACCTTCCCATGCAGAGTCCAATTTGGGAAATGCAACGTCCTCTCTACCTGTTATGGTAGAACTGTTTGTGCGTGCGCACGTGCACACACACACACACACACATATGGAAACACACCAATGTGATGGTATCAGGAGGTGGAGATAATTGGGTGGGAGTTAGTTAGGTTTCAATGAGAGTCCCCAGGACAGGATTAGTGCCCTCATAAAACAGTCCCCAGAGAGCTACTTTGTCCCTTCTACCATGTGAGGACACAAAGAGAAGACACCGTCTATGAACCAGATGCTCCATGTACCAGCACCTGGACCAACCTCCAGAATTGTGAGGAAGAACAGTCTTGTTTACCAGCCACCCAGTTTACAGCCTGGGCGCACAGCACCTCAGCAGACTGAGGCCCTGGCCTCTCTCCCAGATGAAAAGGTTTTCCTCAAACCTCCACCCTTTTGAATGTGATCAGAGCTCTTAATTCCCAGGATGTTTCCCCCAAGTCCATTTGCTCTCACGGTTTGGCTTTCCCAAACTGTCTGACATCTGAGCCAAAGCAGAGGCAGCCAAAGAGCAGGGGAGAGAAAAAAAAAAAAAAAACTCCTAGGACCAGAGTCCACTCTCTGCCCTTTTGAGCTCCAGAAAGAGAGTGACATGAAAGCCAGAGGCAGTGGGGGTCAGGCTGCCCGGGACATATTTCTTTATGCCTGACCTGATGTGCTCACCAGATAAAATGTTCCTCCTGTAGCCAGCCAGCCATGAGTTCATTTTTATGGCTTACATCTGTGCTTGGTGGACTCACAAGTCTGGTTGCCACTGTTTGAGACTGGAGGCTATTTCCTGCCACTGATCTCTTCCAGAGATGAGGCCTCTCCCCCGGGTTTCCAAGCCCTGCTAATGTTCAGGGACCTGAAGGGTGCAGAGCCCAGAGGTCATCACCAGACATAATAAACGACCTTGCCACAACCAGAACCTGGGCTCTCACCAGCTTGTCACTGCTGTGATAAGAGCCTGTCTTTATTTCCTACAAACCTTGCCACGCCACCGTGAACTGCAAATCATGACAATTCATCATGGTTATTGGGATGCCGAAAGGATGCAGGAGGATCGGTTGGAATGATATAGAAAGCTTGACAAAGTGGTTTTGAAGAAACGTGTGAATACCGCTGTCTTTGGAGCACACACCACCAAATTGGAATCACACTGAGAAGAGTAGCGTGGCCCCTGCGCCAGGGTGACAGTCTGTGAAGCATCCCAGTGAGTCACCGTCAAGCCTCTGAACCGTCCCGCTGTGTCCCCACAGGATTTCCCTGCCGCAGTTGTGCCTACCTGCTTTTCTCTCTTTTCTGCATCCTCCAGAGATCTTTTCAGAGTCTTCATCTCGCTGGTCACTGCTTCCAGCATGTGTCGGGCCCTTTCCTTACCCTCCTCGGCCTCCCGCCCCGCCGTGTCCAGTTCTGCCCTGACCGACGCGAGCTGCTTCTCCGCTTTCCCCTTCATCTTCTCCAGCTGGTCTCTGGATTTATTTAAGTCTTCGATGGTTTTGGTCTGTTCCAAAGTTTTAATCTAAAGAGACAAAAGAAGGCTGATCGTTTCTTTCGTTTTTATTTAGGAAAACTGTGCAAACAACATAAATCAGAAGTCAATGGAGCTCACTTAACTTTTTATGAATAAAGAAAGGAATTTATCCTAAACAGCGACATGGACTTTGCTGGATATTATGAGCTGGAGGAACATGACTTAAGACTGTTCTAGCTTACAAACAACACAGGAGTGCCCTTATTTGGAAAAATCAATGAGATGAAACTGTAGACAGCATGATTCTGGATTGAGATAGTAAAGCTCTCAAGCAACCTGCACTTTCTGGCCCTACCTGTGGGCCACCATCCCTATAAACGTTAGAAGAGCAAACTGTCCACTAGTTGTGTGTCCTACAGGGGAGCCCCACCTAAGGTCCCCTCGGCAAGTCTGCATCACTGTGAGCAAAATCAAGACCAGAATTATTCAGAAATGTCTTCTGTCTGCACAATGCGTACCAGTCACAGAAGGTGGCAATGGGGCCTTTGCAGACCGTGGGAGGGTGGTGCGTCCCACCAAGGAGTTGTCCCAGGATCTTTCATCCCCAGCCTGTTTTTAAATTTTTTATCTTGAAACAGGGTCTCACCAAGTTGCTTAGGGCCTCACTAAGTTGCTGAGGCTGGCTTTGAACTTTTGATCCTCCTGCCTCAGCCTCCCCACGAGTCGCTGGGATTACAGGCAGTGCCACCGCGCCCAGCTGTCCCAGGATCTTAAAGCCCAAACACAGAGTATCCTAGAGTTCAGAGCATATTTTCTGTGTTAGTTTATTATTCAAGGCTATACCAGAGCTTCTTACAAAAGAATTTCAGTAAAAGGGAATGAAATTCTGACTTTGCTACAATGTGGATGAACTTTGAAAACATGCTAAGGCCCAAAAGGACAAATAGTGTAGAATTCCACTTATCGCAGGTACCTAGACCAGGCTGTTTCATAGACAGGGAACACAGAATAGAAGCTGTCAGGGGTGGGGATGGGGGAGCTGTGATCCATCATCTGAGGGGCACAGAGTTTCATTTGAGATGATGGGAAAGTTCTGGAAATGGATAGAGACGATGGTTTCACAACATGGTGAATGTAGTTGATGCCACTGGAATGCAAACATAGTGATGACTAAAACGATGAATTTTATGTCTTATTTTGCCACTATCAAGTTAAGGAATTTGAAGCAGTTTTATACAGACACAAGTATTTTTAAATGACCATTAAAAATAAATACACATCCTGGGCTGGGGTTGTGGCTCAGCCGCAGAGCACTCGCCTAGGTGTCCTCCAACAGATGAATGGTAAAGAAAATGTGGTATATGTACTCAATGGGTTATCACTCAGTCTTGAAGAAGAATGAAATTATGGCATTTACTGGTAAATGGATGGAGTTGGAAAATATCATGCTAAGCAAAATAAGCCAATTTCAACTAACCAAAGGTCGAATGTTTTCTCTAATATGTGGATGCTAATTCACAATAAGGCGGGGGTGGGAGGGCACTATAGAAGAAAAGCATTACCTTAGATTAGGTAGAGGGAAGGGGAGGGGAGGGTATGTGGGGATAGGAAGGATAGTAGAACAAAATAGACATTATTACTTTATGTATATATGTGACTGCATGCTCAATGTGATTCTGTAACAGGTTCACTCAGCAAAGTGAGAAATTATATCCCATCTATGTATATCAAAGTGCATAAATGCATTCTGCTGTCATATATAACTAATTAAAACAGATTTTAAAAGTTAAAAAATAAATACACATGAGCTACCACTTAACATCCACTGGGATGGCTAAATAAAAACAACAGACAATGACAAGGGATTGCAAGAATCTAGGGACATGGGGGTCTTGAGCGCTGCTGGTGAGACGTAAAATAGCCCAGCTGCTGAGGAGGGCAGTCTGGACGATTTCAAAGTGTGGAACACAGAGTTGCCATAAGATCCACAGCTTTGCTCCTAGTTGTATCACAGGTGCAGCGGTAGAGTGCTTTCCTAACATGCACAAGGGTTTGATCCCCAGCTCTACAAAGGACAGACAGGACAGGTGGAGGAGAAAACATGCCACATAAAGACCTTGCATAACCACCAAAAAGTGGTTCCCACAATTCAAAGGTCCATCAAGTGATGTATAGAGAACCAAAATGTGGTGTGGCCACGCAATGGGATACTACTCAGCGGAAGGACCGAGTACCATGACAGGCCACAACATGAGTGAACCTTGAAAATGTCAAGCCAAGGGGGAAAAGCCAGCTGCAAAGACCCCATGTTGTGGGATGTCACTTACATGAAAGATCTGGGAGAGGTCTGAGGCTGGTGAGAGGGGCCGGGGGAGTGCCTGCCTACAGGTACGTGGTTTCTTTGGGGGATGATGAAACCATTCTGAAACTTGATAATGGTGATGTCTGCACAACCCCAAGAAGACACTAAAAACCACTGAACTGTACACTTAAAAGGGTGAATTTTATGACAATTGAATTGTTTCTTGATAAAAGTATTGTTTGATGTACATTTACAGAGAAGGCCTCAAAGCATGACAATAAATTATTTGAAATAAGTAAACAAGTTTGTACATTTGAATCGAGGGGACAAAGAACATAGATGGATAGAGCTCAGGATTTAGTTCTGAGTTCTGAACAAATCAGACAAGGTCTGCAGGCACAGTATCAGAAAAAAGGTATCACTTGGGATTTTAATTCTGTGTTCAAGTCCTTTGAATATTCAGTATGAAAGTAATGAAATAATGAGTGCTTTCCCTCTTCCCTCCACCCCGTCTTCCCTAAGAATGAAGGACATGTTCTCGCTGCACATACTCCCCTGATCCCTCCTGGGGCAGAATCAGAGTCAAGGGGTGAGTTGAGGGTGATCGAAGGAAGAGACCCAGGGGGAGTAAACTGTTCTACAGGATAAAGAACTCAGAGAAGGGGTGGGGGGAGAAAGGCGAGAGCCATGCTCAAGAGGCTGCTGGAAAGGTGTTGTGAAGAAACTGGGTGTGGAAGGACTCGCTAGGCGCCATAGGGCTGCGTGGGCAACTTGAGAGTGAAAGATAAAAGGAGAAGACACTTCAAACCATTGCTGCTCCCAGTGAATGAACGCCCTCTTCATCTTTTTGTTTGGGGTGGGGGTCGGTTTGTTTTGTTTTTGTGTAATGATGAAGCTGGTGGACTGGTTACTAATTGGCCAGCAGGTGTAGACAGGTGACTCATTGGTCCTATTAGGAGGACACTGTAAGAGATGACATCCTCACCTGGTCCTGAGCACATCTTCACTGTGACTGAGGATCCAAACCTGGGCACAAGTTGACCTGACCTACACTCTGACCAATGCCTCTTACCAACCCACTAGAAAGTCAGGGGAAGGGAAGGCGTCACTGTGAGCTTAGAATTAGGACATGATGAGGAGATGTGACTTGTGAGTGAACACCTGCGGTTCTGACCTACTGTAACACATTTTAACTTCCTAGGAAATTAAATTCCTTCAGCTATGGTCTGAATGTTTGTGATCCCCAAAATTCCTATGTGGAAATCCTAGCCCCCAAGGTAACACTATTAGGAAGCTGAACTTTGGGAAGTGAAGACAGAGTCCTTGTGAAGGGGTCAAAGTGGCTGAAGAGCTCTCTTAACCCCTTGAACTGTGTGAGGACACAGCAAGAAGGTGTTCTCTATGACCCGGGAAGCAGGCCCTCACCAGATATCCAGTCTGCGGGCACCTTGATCTGGAACTTTCCAGCCTCCAGAACTGTGCAAACAAAATTTCTGTTCTTTTTAATCCTCCCAGTTTATGGTATTTTATTACAGCAGCCTAAGAGTGAGACACTTTTCTAGACAAGAAGGAGGTCAATGCTCAGATAAGTCACAGCTGCTGACCTGGCTCTGTCCAGAGGAGATGAAATTCCTTTGGAAACTGGCAGCAGGTGTGGGATTTGCTATCTAGAAGGCATAAGAACAACTGTGACAGCTCCGGAAATGTGCAGAAATTAAAATGACCGCTGCTGGGGGAAGGGATTCCACACTGGCATCAATGAAACGATAGCAGTAGAGCAGGTCCCTGAGACAGAGAAATGCCACTACGAAGAGCAGGTCCACAGGAGCTGACCCGGGAGAGCATTCATGCATCCCAAGGTATGAAGCCCGTCTGTGGATATGGACTGAGTATTAGATACGGGTGTGTCAGAGCATGGCCTCAGTGGTAACTCCTACCATCAAGGGCAAAGTCAAGCCCAAGCCCAACCCCATGACTCCCAGGCCCCACAACTCCCAGGCTCCACACGCTTTCTATAAGCCACAGCATATCACAGGAGACCAATTTTGCTCTCTTTATGTCTTTGTTCACACTGTAAATGTCGAATAAAATCTCAATGTTTAATTTAGCACCAAAAAGAAAAAATACTAATTCCTGAATATGCTACTTATATTGAGGCAAAGGACAAGAATGCCCTTGCTCTTAAGAGATACACAGTATTTGGGAGTGAGGTGTAAAGATGTTTGCAACTCTCTCTCAAATGGTTCAGCAAAAATAAAAGCAATCTCTCTCTCTCTCTCTCTCTCTCTCTCTCTCTCTCTCTCTCTCTCTCTCTCATATTAAGCAAAATATAATAATTAATAAAACATTTAAAATCTTTGTGAAGGGTTAGAGAATGTCCATTACACTATTCTGGCAATTGTTCCATAGATTTGAAATTTTTCAAAACAAGAAGCAGGGAAAGGGACTATATTGATCATGGATCCTATGGATTAAAAATTTTAATAACTAAGTATATTTATTTATAAATTAGATAAATATACATCTCCAAATAATGTATTCTATAGACTATCAAATATTTTTATAAATTGTGGACATTACATGGATGAAATAAGTATCAATTTTTAAAATAATCTCCCATTAAAATAAAGAGCTCCCCTTCACATGCTCTCTAGCTCTGTGCTGCAGAGAAAATACACAGCAAAGGGGCAGTGCTGGGGTTGGTGTGTTGAGTTCAGACCCTTGTCTTAATAGAAGAGACACATTC